GGGAACACAAGCAGGGGCAGTGGGAGAAGGAGAAGCAGGCTTCCTGCAGAGCAGGAAGCCCGATGTAGGGCTCCATCCCAGGACCCTGGGATTATGACCTGAGCCGAAGGCAGACATTTAACGACTGAGTCACCCAGGTGCCCTTATCCTTCCCTTTTATGCTTTCCATTACCCCAAATAAAAACTTTGTCATCTATATCACATTCCAAAACCAAAACAAACAACTGAATCACTAACACTAAAGAAGGAAAAATTTTCAGAATGTATTTCAGAGCTTATACTGAGTATAGTACAAATTATGAATGAATGTATTTTATTTAAAACATGTTATTGACAGAAATCTATCAATAATAATGTGAGTATTGTCAAGGGCCTGTCAATATTAATGTAATTATGATTAAGGGGATAACATGGATTTTTAGCTATAATACCAAGTAACATCTCCTACATTGCTGCTATCAATATACACATTATTATTGACCTGTTCCGAGACTCTCAGTACTAGATGTATTACCATTAGGCATATTTGTCAATGCATGCTGCCCTACAAAAACTCTACATTTAAATTTACAGTCCTGTAAACTTTGTCAGCAGAAACATGTGATTCCCAAGTATTCTCTAAGGTACCAAACCCATGTATACACCCACTGCCAAGCCATCCTTTTTCAGATCCACAATAATTAACTAATTTTTAGTATGACAATGTTGCTGCCACACTATCCTGAGGGTTCAAGTAATCAAAATGCATGAGACAATATACTAATTTTTTTCCTTTTAGGTTTGAAAAGATTTTTAAACTTATGTTTCATATTATGAGGTTATGTGAATAAAATTCTATAACTGGAGATCTTAAGCTTTGAACCTACACCCTACTTTTTATTTCCTTTGTGTAGTCAGATAGATTTACTGTCCATTGTATTGAAATCAATACTAATAAATGGGACATGCATCAAAGAGGGATTTAACAGGACACCGATTCCCAGAACACATTTCAAACATGAGCAAAAGAGAAAAAGCTATGACTGAGACCCATTAGGACACTGTGACCTCTGGCACTGTGAATAGGCCTAAAAATCAACAACCAGAAGTTCAAATCCCACTTCTGCCACAGGCTTGCTAAATGACTTGTCACTAGTCTTTTGTTCTACTCTTTCATCAAATATAAACCAAGTTTCAATAATTTATAGATATCAAATGTTATAAATCCAAATTGCGCTCTTTTGGATATGGACACGATATGTTGAAATTTTAAAGTTCTATTGTAGACACTAGACTTCTAGCTATATACTTAACATAATCCTCATCAAAATCCAAATAGGAATTTTCTTTTTGGGACTGATAGTGAGTACACAATAAAATGTTTTAGGATAAACCTCAAAATCTCATAAATTGCTCAAAAAGATGAACAAAGATAAGTAACTTGTCCTAGCAGATGGGAAATATAGATATATTTTTTAATTTGAAAAAAAAAAGGGAACTCAAATCAAATACTACCATCATCAAGATTACAATTAGTCTTAAACAACTGGGTACCCCCCTATTTCATTTACTTATTTAAGACACTTATTCAAGTATCTAAAACCAACATCAATGTTTCCCTCTGGTTTTTTTAAACCTTAAAACAGAATTTTCAATACCTTGGACTAGCTTTACAAATACATTTTTAAGAGAAAAGCATGGCACTCATAATCTTCTCTTTTAGAAAGCTGATACTTCTGAGTCTTTAAGAGAAAAAGCATGTTGTGAAAATAAAAAGCAGATGTTTGAGTGAATACGGGGAAAGAGAGTTACACTGGTTCTGATTAGTTCTGTATCTTAGACCAGGTTCACCAACAGGCTGTGTGACTCTGGACAAGTCATTTTATCACACTATCCTCTCTAGCAGTTGAAAGATATAAAAATAAATTTCAAAAAATCAACTGTGAAAAGTCTACCTATCTAGAATCCTTATAAGAACTATTTTAGGAAACCTTGGAAGAGGAAGAAAAAAGAACAGGCATTTCCAACTAGAGAAATGATAATGTTGAGTGTGAAAAAGGCTAGAGAAACTGAAGAAATTAGAATAGAACATGAGAGACAGAGACACAATCATAGAAAAAAAAATAGCAAAGCATCTGGAAGACAATACCCACCAATTTATGAGTTTATGACTGAAGTACATTTATACCGCTTACCAGTTATCAAGTGCTAACAAGGGACTATCATACCCAAGTATCCTTTGCAAAATTAAATATTAAATCATTTGATCCTTACCAGTATTATGAAAGAGGTTCTTTTATCATTTACATTTTAAAACAAGGAAACTAAAGCACAGAGAGATTAGCTGACTTGTATAAATCACACAACTAGAAGTGGCAGAGCCATGCTCCAAACTAGTGTCCTTGACTGACAAGGTGTGATGGGCCTAAAAGATGAACAGAAGTACTTTAGAAGGACACCACAGGACATGCAAATGGGGCTATTTTAAAAGTCTAAACACTAAGAGATAGACATGAACTACAGCAAAAATGACACTCGAAGAATGAACAAACAAGAGCCACAAGAAATACATGAAGCAACTAGATCTTTAAGTACTCCATAAATTTAGAAAAGCACTCTAGAACCTAAGAAGAGAATTTTAAATAACTTGCAAATTACTGGCACACATGTTTAATTGCATATTTTATGGCATTCAAGACAACATGGAGGGACACCTGAGCAGCTCAGTTGGTTAACTATGCCTTCAGCTCAAGCCATGATCCCAGGACTCTGGGATCTGTGTCTCTCATCAGCATCTTGCTCGGGAGAGAGCCTGCTTCTTCCTCTGCCTGCTGCTCCCCTTGCTTATGTGCTTTCTGTCTGTCTCTGACAAATAAATAAATCTTAAAAAAAAAAAAAAAGAGAGAGAGAGAGAGAAAGAGAGACAGAGACAGAGACAGACAGACAACATGGAACTATCCACAAAGGAACAGAGGTATTAGCAACGGGAAAGAAGGAAGTACCATGTAATACATCATTGTATGTGAGGCATTATGTTTTCTTCACACTCTTTATCTCATTTAATCCTCATAACACAGTAAATACTATCATGTCCATTTTAGAAGACAAAAGTTAGATGTGAGAAGATTAACAACCTGTTTAAGGTCGGACTGACAATCAGTAAATTTCCGGTAAACAGTAGAGAAACTGTGGAACACACAAAGGAAGTTAGTAAGTAGTAAGAATATGTGGTAAACCTGGAACAAATTCAATCCCACAGAGCTCAAAGCAAATTTTTTTCCCTCAAGATCATTCAAAAGACCAGAATGCCAGTCAAGCTTCCAGGACTGTAAATGGGAAAATAAAGCAAAGGACTGTGGTAAAGTTGCCCATATTGCCTGGGATGCATCTAGTGTACATTCTCTCTCCCTGACTCTACACATGTGGTCAGAAAACCATTCAAAGAGCCTGAATGCCCAATATGAACAAAGGGAGTATGTGGGTGAAAAAATGAGGTGTGAACATTCATTTAATTGTTATGAACACATACTATATGCAAGATAGAGGAAATGCCAATTCATTTAACACTAGAAGGGAACAGTTATGCAGAATCAAAACAGAATTACTCTATAGCTCTTGGGTTTTTTGTCTTAATAGTAAGAAGACAAGACAGCATGGATGAAATTTTATCTCACCTTATTCACAGGCAGTTAAGGGAAAGGTCTGAAAAAAAAAAGAAAACATATTAAATAGAATAAAATACAATATAGAAAAGGACATTTTGATTGTATAGATGGTAAAAGATTGAAAAGAAGTTGATTAACATTGCACAATGGGAAGGACAGAGGGTGCTAGACATCGTCTTTCCTGCTTCCACTTCCATGTAGAGAAATAGTACTGTCATTTGCAGTGCCAGGATTACACGGGGCAAATGGAGCAGTACAGAGCTTTTCTCCAGAGATTTCTTCCACATACCAAAGGAACTGAAGAGGAACATGGAATGTTTAGAAACTGCTGTCATTTCACAGGAAGGAGGTAAAGGGGACATCCAATTTGTTTTGAGGTTGCCCAAGATAATCAAGGGAGGAAAAAAAAGGAGCAAGTGATTCAGAGCAGAACTTTCGTTCAGAAATAAAGATTGTGCATATGGCATACATTTTCCGTATGCCACAGGAACCTGAGCACAGTGAAGTGAAAGAGAGAAAGAAACTTTAAAATTACTTGATGCTATGAGGAAAACATGGGGCTGAGACTTAAAATGCAAATTTACTAGCTATGCAATGTTGGGCAAGGCTGTTAACATCTTTAAGATTCAGTCACAGAATATGTAAAATGAAAAATATCTGCCCTTCCTATTGCAAAGATTATTATAAGCTTCAAAATTAAGCAAAAAATTTTATGGCTAAAATACCAGGGAAGAAGGAATAGAGAAAAATAAAGAAATATGATTATGATCACAAAAAATTAAATTTGAAGTTTGTATTTGTTAAACAAATTAGGTGATATAGACCTGTTTGTGACTTTTAGTAATAAACTAATGATGAATGTATCTTTTACTATTAAAAAATGTTACAAATCGAATGAATACACATTGGATACAAATGAGTAATTTGAAACAGAATCATAATGCTAGAAGTAAACCCAGATCACCTAGTCTAAGATATGAATTTAAATTACTTAACAGAAACACTTTCAAACAGAACACATACAAGAGCTGTTCTTGTAAAAAACCGTTGTCTGCTTGGCTTGTCTCTCCCCTGTGTGGCTCCAGGAAATTTATATAGGAATTCTTCTTCAGAACAGATTTAAAACCACAGATTGGATGCTACCCCAACCCCTAAAAATGAAGAGAATAAGGCCATGAGGTAGGGCTGGTCAAAGGAAACCAG